TATTTCATATATTTCACCCACGAGATTATGGTTCGGTCTCTGATGCAGCTTTTTCTTTGTGCTCTTCTCTCTTCTTCACTAGCCTTTTAAAGCATCCGTTTTTATGCCAGATTTTAGATTAAAGTTTTACACGCCTGGAAAGTCGTTTGGAAGATTTTGATTTCGGATCTCAGATTCATATACCCGATTCTATAAAGTGCACTAGATGTTCAGACAAAGCTCATCTCGAGTTCGTGCTTTTCTCGGGTTAACTGCAATAACACCCTACCTTTTATCATCGCCGCTTTTCTCCCACGAGTACTTTCGTTTGTCGTACTTTTTGAAGTCATCGTCCCACTTGTCACCTGAAATGAAAAGATGTATCTTTAAGCATAGAATATTTAAGCTTTCAAAGCTTTCAAATCAATCTTTATAAAGATTTTGCTTATATTTAGTACTAAGAAAACAATGAAAACCTACTGTTGGCACTATGTTGCCCTCCTCGACCCATTCGAATGTCATCCGGGGTGTAGCCCTGAAGAATCAGTTTTTAAATTGTTAAGATATTAGAGTAATGATTTTAAATCAATCACTAAATCTATAATCATTTTATATTCGAATCTTTACCTGATATTTCTCTTTCGAATCTCCTTTCGCCTTCTTTCGCTCGGCTCTCAATTTGTCGTCATCTTGAAGCAAATCGATCACGATTTTCGCGCGATGTCGGACTAAAATTTTCCCAAAATTATTGAATTTCTATAATTGTTGGGGGTGGGACAAACGCGAACTTTTTTTGCGCACCTGGACATTTGCGCACCTTTTTTTGCTGGAAAAGGCCTTAGGCAAGGCCGTAGAGCTTCGAAAATATTTCCATATCAGGGAATCGTATGCGTAGATTCCGAATTTCGACAAATCAGACCTCGCTGACACGTCAAATTTGGGCTAAAAGGCAAAAACTGCGGCGGAAAAGCGTTAAGTTGCGTAGTTTTTGCCTTTTAGCCCAAATTTGACGTGTCAGCGAGGTGTGATTTGTCGAGTGAATCTACGCATACGATTCCCTCATATGCAAATATTTCGAAGCTCTACGACCTGCCTAAGGCCTTTTCCAGCAAAAGTGCGCAAATGTCCAGGTGCGCAAAAGGTCGCATTTGTTCCACCCCCATAATTGTTTCTATATTTTTTAAACCCACTATTTATCCCTTGATCTTTTCCCTTCTCATCTGTGTACTTAAAGCTTTCTAAGGCTCGAATGTGGAAGAGATTATCCTTTGCACTTGAGATCACCCGTTCAGAACCGTGTTGAATCAAATAGTTCAATAAAACCAAACTCTAAAATGGTAAATTAGCATTGTCGAAAGAATTTTTAATAGTTTAGCGATTGAAATTAACCTTGTAAACCCGTCGCCAAGCGTTTTTGTTATCCTCGAGCATTCTCTTGTAAAGCATGTTCATTACACCAAAGAATTGATCGTATCTGAGCGAAAATAGTTAATTTGAATAGATAAATGTGTAAAAAAATTAGCAAAAAGATCTGCTATCACGTATATTTTATTAATTTTTGAACCAAACTATAACTTTACAATAAAGTGCACGTGTGGCTGACTGGTTAAGTGTCTTTTATCTTAATCGGAAGGTCGAGGGTTCGAACCCCACATGCGACATGGTCACCCCCTTCGGATTTCCTTTCCCTTCGGGTTGAGAGGTTTTCTGGAGGGCAGTCTGGTGGTTGTGGCCCCAGTTCTTTAAAGTGACAAGCCACTCCTTCATCGTCATCTTCCCTTCACCACCAAAAAAGCTATTTAGTTCCCCATTGAGCTTAGGGTTAGGGAGCCGTCTGTCATGACGTGGGTTAAGTTAAGATATAGCCTAGTATTGTGTGTGTCGTTGTATTGTCATTGATATATTTCGTGTATGCGATAAATTCACCACTGGTAGCCCCAGTCGGTATTTTTAAAGTAAAGCTTATAAACATGATTATAAGCATGATTATAAACGTGACTAGCCTATGTACAATATTGGTTGAGATAACTGGGTGAATTACTGTACTTTTTAAGGATTTGATTGATTACTAATGTTTTAAGCTTTACTTCTGAATACTCACTGATATGTGTAATTGCAGACTTCTTTCATTTGTGGTCCAGTCGGTCCCCAAGGTTCCTCATTCGTCGCATCCCAAACACACTGCTCAACCGGAGTCAAATTCATCACCATCCCTTGGCTGAAAATTGATATCATTGATTAAGATAAGGTAATTACTTTTTAGAAAACTAAGTACAATCATCTTACGGAGTTTAAAATAAGCCTGAGCCTATGAAAATCGTCCAACAAATTTATTTTTAAAAAAACTTTGTTTTTAAGTTGTAAAAGCTTTTTTAAAGTTCTTCTAAAGCTTTAAAGCAATGATATAAATCAAAGAAATTCTAGCTTTTACACTTTCCAACAAGAATTGCTTTACATTTTATCGGTGAACTGCCGAATATCGGTGTTCTGGGTGATCGACTTGGCCGCATTGGCAATGCTCGAGAAGAGCTCGGCCATTGTTTTCCCCTGAAAATGACCTTAAACATATAAAGCAATGGAAATAATGAAAAATTTATAAAACTTGGTTTTTATTTTATTGAAAAGAATTTTAATTGTATGGTAAGTGGGGTACAGTCAATCGATCAGATGGGAAAAGAAAAAGAAATAGCAGAGTACAGGAAAAAGACGTGGAGTCTCTCTTTTGCTTTGCTCTCTTTTCTTTTCATTCAGCTACAGTATGAATGGGATAGTGACGAGACCTAGGCTTCGACAATTCAGCTAATTCAGCAAAAACCTACTTACAATTAACATTAAAGGAAAAGCGGGTTGTTTAGACAGTTTAAATTGTTGAATTGATCATCTGTGAACAGAAAATCACAAAATTTTAGGAAATTTTGAGATAGAATTTGGCTTAATCTAATTTTAGAAGTGTTGAAGCCCAGTTGATTATGTTTTATTTTTCATTGAACTTAAAGGGGTACTCCGGTCTAAAAGTTGACTTTCAAGAATCGCGATCATTTATATATTATTTGACTTGTTTTGTTTTTAAACGCCCCTGAATTTTTTTAAACGCCTGAATGTCCTCAGAAGCCTCGTTTCTCGAACGGTTCAACGTTATGAAACTCTGGGCACAGTTTCTGATCGCCCTGGAAGAGGTGCAGAGGAAGAGTTTTGTTCAAAGACCTTTCCGGACTTCATCTCGTTTTCTGAATGACCACCCAGCTCACCCGATCTTAATCCATTGGATTACTCAGTCTGGAGTGTTCTTGAAGCCAGGGAATGTGCAAAACCACATAAAAATATCGAAAGTTTGAAGAAGGCGCTCATCAAAGCATGCCTGTTTGTGCCTATCAAAGCATGCCTCGATGATGCCTATTTGCTCGCCACGGTCAACGCGTTTCCCAAACGTTTGCAGGCCTGTCTGAATGCCGATGGAGGCAAATTTGAATTTAATAGTTAATTTGTTACTGTTATTTGTTGAATAAAGATATTTAAGTTAACTTTTCGAGATGGGTTGCATATTTGGTTAAAAGCCAGACCTTTTGTGTGTTGCGGTAATTCTTGGTCACCCTGTAAAATTGAAACGAACTCATTGCCTCAATGCAAGCCATTCAAAGCTTTCGAAAACTTGACTAATCACATCAAAATCTACCAAATTCCTAACATGAGTTCGTTTCAATTTTCCTCTTTACCCCCAGAAATTCAAAAATCGATCCTAATCCTTGCAGATCATCAGAAAATCAAAAATTTATTCAAAAAACTAAAGCTTTATGTACACTACTGGACAATGAAATATGATATTTGAAAAACGATCGTCACTTTCGCCCGTCTGTAACTCCCTTGTCTTTACCGTATTTATAAATATTAATATTACCATTGTGTAGCCCTTGAAAAGAGCTTTCAAAAAATGCATGACACTAATAGTTTAAACTTAAAGACAATGGAGTTACAGACGCGCGAAAGTGACGATCTTTTTTCAAATATGATATTTCATTGTCCAGTACTGTAGGTAAAAAGGAATTGCATTAAATGCTTAAAATGCTCTCCGTTTACTTTAATATACTTACTGAGCCACTTTCGATTTATTATCCAACAACAAGAGAGACATACACTACTGGACAATGAAATATCATATTTGAAAAAACACTTTCGCACTTTCGCGTGTCTGTAACTCCCTTGTCTTTACCGTATTTCTAAATATTAATATTACCATTGTATAGCCCTTGAAAAGAGCTTTCAGAAAATGTATAACACTAATAGTTTAAACTCAAAGACAAGGGAATTACAGACGCGCGAAAATGACGATCTTTCTTCAAATATGATATTTCATTGTCCAGCACTGTAACTTATCAAAAGCTTGGCTATTAGCTTGCTTTTGAATAAAGTTATCAACGTTTTTATTGTTAGTTTATTGCATGAGTAAAATAATTGATGGACAACTCACCGAAAAGCCTAATACTAAGCCAAATATTTGTAATTAATCAAATTTACTTTAAATTGATAAGAAATCAACAGGTTATATTTTTTCCCGTAAAACAGAAATAAAACTCGAAATTTCTTCACAAAACCTAGTAGTTATTTTAAGCAATTCTTTGAAAGATTACTTCATTCTTGGAGAACTTTTTGTTAACAGTCTCATCGAAATTTGGTGTATTTTCTTGCTCGAAC